TTGTTAATTATAAATAAATTAGTAATTTTATACACAGATGTTATTTTTAAAGGCAGTGTATCCACCAAAGTGCCAAGTTGCGGGAGTCATTCACTATACGCCCAATTGACGGAGGTCAAGCTGGTGCACGCCCAGGAAGGGCAAAAATGTGTAGTTTCGGAACTAACCGCAAGGCATAATAGTACATTCGTACCTTGCGAGAAATACAAAGGCGTTTAACGTACAAAGGAAATTACTCGTCTGAAGAGAAACAACACCTGAATCTGAAATAACATACGCTTCAATAATACGTTTTTAAAATTTGATATATAAATTTACTTCGTAATGTTTACGCAAAAAATAATTAATGGACATACTCTAAACTTTGTGAAATATAATTAACTGCATAGAAATGTTTGAATAATATACGTTGCTTACAGATATTTAGTTATTGCAATAACAAAATAAATCTTAATGTCGAGCTTCCAACTAATTAGAACATATATTTAATCAATATCCTCTCGCTAATCAGTATTTTTACTATGAAATTATTAAAAGCAACATTTTGATCCACAACACTATATTACTAACAGTATAACTTATACTATTATACTTTTGTAGACCAAATTGTTGCTTTTCCAACAAAACATTACATTCATTCTTGTTTCTCAATCTGTTTAAAAATTATAATAAACACAACAATTTTCACGTTACATTTTACACAGTCATACCCTCCAACTATGCAAATTACGAGCTGTATTGTTTGAAAGTAACCAAATAAACAAATTTTATTAGAGCGATAATTTTCAACATTTTAAGGCTTGAAAAAACACTGCAATTCACTAAGTACCTTTAACATAAGTTTAAGTCGTAATTCATAGATAAGATATAATTTGATGTCATCATTTTTAAGAGCTTTTGCTTGTAATTACATTTTGTTTAAAATGAACAGAAAACATTCGCCCGTACCCTCTATCTAACGACTTAAATATAATAAAGTTAAAAACCTTTCAAAATTTATAAAAAAATTATCAAACATCCCTTGATTGCACATGAACAGGTATATCTCAGTAACTTTCTTTTTTCTGTCTCAAACTTGCTTTATCTGCTGAACCACAATTTGCAATATCCAATACCAAACACATCAGTTTAGAAATATTTTCTTGAAACAATTTTTATTATCCATAAAAATTATGAAAATCTGGACCATATTAACTCTAATTTGGTACTGTGTAGATTTTACATTTAAAATTATAAATTGTTACAACTTAAGTTTTCATAAACAGAGAATACTATGATTTCTTTACTATCATATCATACTTTACAAACAACAAAAACAAATAATTTATATTACAAAATTTTAAAAACAACATAATTGTCCCATTATGAGAATAACAATAATAATAATCTTGATGTAAAAAAAAGTAAAATATGCTGCTTGTAATTGTATCATAAAAAGTTTGAAATGTTCGCTCCTTGCATCACGAAGTTTGATATCTGACTAAATATGAAAAGTGCTGCTTCATTTTCACGTCTAAACAATTATGTATCAGTACGTCATATTTTTATGCAGTTGTTAAATTCATGCATTTTTAAAACGCCCAACAAAATTAACTTACACTGGGTAGAATTTGGTATCTTCACCATAGACAGCAAGATGTTCAGCCACTGAAAAACCAAAGTAAGAACCTCTGTCACCTTGTTTTATCAGTGGCAAACGTGTTTCCAAATTAAAACTCTTCACTGATGATTGTATCTGTAATAAATACAAAACTATGAAAGTCCAGAACCTAAAGTTTGTTTCCATAGCTATTTGTAATTTCGTACTACACCGAAACCCACACTTCTTACACTGAAAGATAATTTCCACATGCACTCAGGTCCAATCTAAATTTTTGTTACTCTCGTCACTGGTTACTCTCGTACCACCTGACAGTGATGCAAGCGACCTCATCAAACTTGGGTTAGGTTATAAACTTACGTGTTACAAGCCTTTAATAAGAACTGGTTGTTTGGTGAAAGAACGGGGAGTAGTAGCTTAAATTCAAAACACACGTAAAGTGTTTAAAAATTCTTGTTATTGGTTATACAGGGTTTGTTTCGATATTTAGTTAATATTGAAATTATACTAATTTTGTTCATAGATACTCAAGAACTGATACTCGTGACACGATAATGTTCACAAGATTAGAGACTGAGTAAGAGTATAGCAAAATTATCGTTACTCGTAAGGGTATTTCAATCAATAACTATGAATGAGTTTAGTTAACCTAAAGTTGGTACAGTTGGTTTACTTAGGATAGATAGATAAATATATTATAATAATTTTATGGGATATTTTTATGAGTTTCGGTAGTTTAATTTATTTTCTTTTACTCTAGCAAAGTTAATTTACGAAAATAGTGATTTGAAATCATTTGTATAGGTGGAGAAAAAACTAGTATATGTAGATGTGTTTTTATCTAATTTAGGTGTAGTGGAAAACACTGGTATTACTAAAGCGTGTATTATATAAACTTAATTACAAATTTAAGATTAACTAATGATAGTAATGTGCTGGGAAAGGCTGATTTTATGGAGAGAGAGTATCTTTAAAATTTGTAGAGCCTTGTTAGTTGTAGTAAGTAAGAGAGCAAGAATATGAAAAATTGAGTTTCAATTGTAAAAAAATAATACACCGTGGTGTGAAAAAAATCTTGAAATTTCCTACTTCTTTTGGTGGAGAAAACTATATGTAGGTATATCTCTAATCTGGGTGGTTAGTTATAGTGAAAATAACTGAGGTTATTAGAGTATTTGAATCTGTGTATAGAAATTTTGAATATAAGAGTAAAAAGATTATTATCTCCTTGTGTAAGACTTTGGTAAACCCTTATTTAGAGTATTCTGTACAGTTTTGTCCCCATGTTGCAGAATTACCTTGTTTAACAAAATTAATATATGATTAGAGACATAAAGATTTGGTTTCTTTAAACTAGAGATGTCTTAATTCAGAAGTTTTAACCTCTTAAGGGTTAAGAGTATTAGAACCGTGAGAGCTGTTGGAATGATGGTAGGGTACAGTTGTAAGTAAATTCTTAAATATTACTTGTACTCTCATTCATGTGTTGCTATTATTCAATTGTTTGACTGTTACAGAATGTATAATACATTTAACACTGTAG